AAAGGAAACTTTCTTAAGGTTTTTCCTATTCATCTTGGTTAGTGGGGAAAATACACTACCAAGTCCCAAGTAATTGGCAATAACCAAAGAAGCAATAATGACATGGATTCCATTAAACTGAGTCACTGTTTCAGAGGTCTTTATTTACCTAAATAGAGAACCATAGGGGTAAATACAAAATCTTGAAAACTACAGGAGGAATGGCCAATCTCAATTATAGTGAGTTAATTAAGGCAGAACCTCTTCCCATCTTAGTAGTGGACTGAGTTGCCTATTCTGAGAAAAATACCTCTTCTTCAGTTTTTCCACAATCTCTTTTAGGATTGAATACCCTGGCTCAAGACATATAGGACAGCAACAACAACAATATAATAAATAGCAATAATAATTAATAACAAACCTTTTCTTTCAGGAGGTTACAAATCTATTAAAATTATCACCATAGAATTGGTAGATTTTAGAATCAATAACCATCCTATTTTGCCTGGGTGGAGCCTAAGCCTTCAGGTAGCCCAGAAGCTAGTACTAGGTGCTGCTGGTACACCTAAGAGCACAGAAGGGATGCATTTACTGCATTGGGAACCAGCTTCAAGTCCACCAGTATGATCAGTGCTATTTCTACCCAAGCCCAAGCCTGAACCTGATTAAAAATGAAATGATCCATTTACTTTAGGGTGTTTTATATGTGAATGTCACCATCTTTTCAACAATCTTACCCAGAACAAAAAACTGTATAACATTTAATTTACATAGCTGGGTCTAGGAAAATCCTTTTCAAGAGTACAAACACCACTGTGTCTTTCAAGTCAGATGGTATTACCCATTTCCATAACAACATGTCAACAACCTCATGACCCAGTCTATTACCCGATCTCTCATCTTTATAATAATCTAGGCCAGTGATGGCGAACCTTTTAAACACCGACTGCCCAAACTGCATGTGCGTGCCTGCCCAAATAGAAAGATGCATGTGTGCACAAAAGTGAACATGCATATGTATGTGCAGACATGTTTGGACATGCGCGCACATGCACAGACATGCTCAACCATGCACGGACCTGAAGACCAGCTAGCCGGCGGGAGGCGGAGCTTCCCAACACCAGCAGCACAGCAAGAGGTAATATTTTTTTCTTTCATGAGCTTTTGTTTAGTTGTTTCCAGAGAAACAGAAGCTCATGAAAAAACACCACAGAGATCTGACCTGAGGTGATGGAGCACATGCCAGCAGAGAGGGTTCTAGGTGCCACGTCTGGCACGCGTGCCGTAGGTTCGCCATCACAGATCTAGGCAGAGCATAGCAGAGTTCCAAAATGGTAACACTGACATTCCCCAGCATATCATCTACCTCCATGCAATGTGTAGGGTAAAATTAATTCCAGATAGTATTGCAAGTCTGTACTTATATTATTTACATGGATTCTGCACATCTGCAGTCAAAATTTGAGCAAATGAGAGTAATTTTATTAGCAAAATATTGCTTCAGGTTGCCCTCACAGCAGCCTGTTGGCAGATCTTGCCAATACTTCAAAAAGAAAATGGATCCTTCTAAACGACGCATCTGAGTCATTGTCCACTGATGAAATGCATGCAGAGAAGTAAGAAGCTCTTATTTCTATGATGAGTTTGCTCCTTGTTTAGTCAAGTTCACACTTTATCCACTGATATTCTAGTTGTCTCTTCTGTCATTCCATTTCCTGACAATAATCTTGTCAATGATTGATTTCTCAAAATTATCCATAATAATCATATTATGCTGATGAAGAGGTAGATTAACAGCTCCAGTCCCCTTCACATAATTTATTTCCAATAATCTATTGTAAAAAATATGGTAAAACAGTATGAAGAGAATGACTTCCAATCCCTTAATATCAGTTTCCCTTCCAAGTCATGTAGAGATAAGTTTAAGAATAGAGGTAGGTTGCTTAAAAACAGAGCAGTTAGCAGCATTCCAAGCCACTGTCTATTGTTCTCTCCATTTGAACTGCATTGGGAAAGGTTTTTTTTTCTAGGATTTTTACTCTGACAACCATGGCCAAAACTAGTTAGTTTTTCAGTTTGATTTTTCTTTTGTCAGTTACACTAAATTTGGTGCTACTTCGATTTAATTTTAAAGATTTAGCCTTCTCACTGACAGAATTCGAAGCGCTTGTACAATATTTCTTTCCAGCATTTCATTATGTTTGAGTGGATAAAAAAAGCATTCTACATACACTCCAGCAAAAAACAATTGGAAAAAAATGTGTTACTTATACAGCCTTTGTCTGCCTACCCACACCACCCATTGCATTTGTTCTGCCTCACAGAGCTGGTTCAGCAAGAGAAGTGATCAAATTTAGGAGCTGTAGTTTCAACCACCCAGGATTTCACAAAATAGCCAGGGGTATGCACAAAATTAACAACTAAGGTGGGACCTAGAGAGTGGAAAGTATTTTGTTATTGAAAACTTAGTCAGCAGCCACACTATATATACAATTTCAAGACTGCAGTTCAGCAGTTCTGAACAGTACCAGTTTGGAGAATGCAGCTTTAAGAGATAACCTTTCCTAAAAGATGGTTCCTGAAATGATTATAATATAGCCAATAGGCATGCTACAACAAAATTATGAAATGTATTACATTTGTTCTTTTTTTAAGATGCTAGATGCAGAGATGGATGTATATATGTTGTTCCCTCATTTACAATATATAAAAACTGTAAAAATTGAGAACGTCCTTCCCCCAATCTTATGGAAAGGAAAATGGACTATATATATAATTCTGAGTTAGTATTACTGTTGCTGAAATACTATTCTTATCTAAATCTTTTTTAATCTATTGCAACATAGTATGATTATTCTAGTGAAAAAAATACTTGTTTACAGATACCAGCCAATTAAGACAAATGTAGATAGTTAAGATTTCATTGGCATTATTATTTGTATATGTAATTAAGTTGTACTTAAGCAACAACAGAATATGAATTGCATTATGACAAGATACCTGCTGGCCTCTTACATCCTGGACATAAACTGTTTCAACTCCTCCCCATAGGATGGCGATACAGGGCATTGCAAGCCAAACAACTAGACATGGGGACAGTTTTTTCTTAGGGCCATTACTCTGCTGAACACCTAATTCTCAGCTCTGCTGTCTTATGTCTATGTGTATTTCTCCCCATGATAATAGCTATAGTATTATTACTTATCATTATCTTATTTCCCTTTATTGGTATTATTATCATTATTCTTTTATTTTACACATACACAAGAGCTGCTGCATTGGAGACAAATAGTGTCTAATAACACTAAGCCAAATAAAGTATTCAATTCAATATATCATTTTTTTTAAAGTATCCTGGGATAGATAGATTTAGTGAAATGCTCTTCCTTGATTTGAATACCAAATGATATGTATATAATTTTAAAATTAATTTTAATGTTCACTTTTAAAGGATGTCAATACTTATATGAGCATATGCCAAAGATATTTTTTAAATTTCACCGATCTTAATGGAAGAGAAGTTATGCTTGCCTGTTTTATGGTCAGTTGTCTTATTCTGATTAAGGTTTATTGTATGAAAATTAGTTCTACTAATTTAAATTTTATCTTTTAAAACATTCTTGTTAATTTTGAATCTGAAGACGTAAAAACAGGACATTCATGCTAGTTGCTGTTCATAATTTCAAACTTAAACCAATACACTACACACACACACAACTTTCCTGTATTAGAAAAATCACTGTATAAGTGATTTTCTTTTAATTAATTGGTTTTTTATTCAGTTGAATGTACTGAAAATTATTGGCAATACATTGAATGTTCAGTTTTAATTCATCAAAATATAAATTTCGTGGTTTTTTTATGCTACAACATTAGAATATGTTTTCTGGCAACACTCATACCTTGCTCAGCAGTCAGTTGGACTACTGTAATTGGAAGCAATTGGAGGGCTGTTATTGGAGGCAACTAGAAGTTGCAGCTGCTACAAAATCTGACAGCCAGATCCCTTGAGGATAACCCTCCCAGGCTAGAAAAAAACTTCCTTTGAAATTTGTTTTAACAACATTGGTTACATTGGTTGCCAATAGGCTTCTGGACTCAAGTTAGAGTGTGGGTCATTATTTTTAAAGTCCTTTGTGTACAATGCTAGATATAACAGTAATGCTATGTCAAGTCAAATCTATCCATCCAATCTGGTCATGAAAAGAGTCCATATAGCAATTCGTAAAGTACATGAGGCATGGAATAGTCAATAGTTTTTTGGTTTTTTTTTTCAATCTTGACCTCATTCTGTTAAATACTCCCCCCTCCCCCCCAGAATTCTGTCTGGCCCTAATGCTATTTCACAAACTAGTCATAGCAGTGCTATTTCAGCATTTGTTTAGTTTTTAAGATAGTTTATGTTACTCAATGCCTATGAGGGGTTTTTTTTGGTTGATGTCTCCTGGAGTTTTGAAAAATTGAATGCTGTATCTTTTTTGCTTTCCCTTTTTTCTCTATTCCATCAATAATGTTATTTGCTCCCGTTAATAAATATGAATATTGGACAATGTGAATTATCATGTATCTACCCTGTTCCCCCCAAAATAAGACATCTCTTGATAATAAGCCTAATTGGGCTGTTGAGCGCATAGCAATAAAACCAAGCATTTATTTCAGAGTTCAAAAAAATATAAGACAGGGTCATAATGATGACTACACACAACTGAATTTTCTGTCAATCTATCAGAAAGAGTACATAGGACTATTTGAACCTTTAGAGATTGGTGAGCATTAAATTGCAGCAAATTAAGATTTTAAAAAATGTAGATAGAACAGATTTCATGCCAGAGCAAATGGGACCAGAACTTGGATAAGAAGTTGGTCTCTTTTCTTTCTGGAAATCTAAGAAAAATAGTTGACGTTGTGTAATTAGTAAGAAAAGCAACCCAGCTCTAAGAATACTTCTCACTGTTAGAAAATCAATGTCTTATTCATGTTTTCAAAGTCTATGAATTAACTGTAAATGTTTTGGGTTTTAGATATAATTAAAGAACAAAATAAGGAGTTAAGAGGTACGCAGAGGGCTATAGGAAGAGATCGAGCAGCTTTGGAGAGACAAGAAAAGCAACTGGTAAGTGTATCAAATAATTAGTTCATTGTTCACAGTAAGAGACCAATTTGTAAAATGATATTTTTCTATTTTAAAGTTTTCAAGTACAAATTAATCAATTACTAGGCTATTATAATATTAATTATAATTATAACCGATAAAATACAAATGCAAATAAAGTTTAAAATCAGCTTTGTTTTCAATAAATAGGAATTGGAAATAAAGAAAATGGCTAAAACAGGAAACAAGGAAGCCTGTAAGGTTCTAGCAAAACAACTTGTGCAGTTGAGAAAACAGAAAACTCGAACCTATGCTGTTAGTTCAAAAGTTACATCCATGTCAACTCAGACAAAGCTGATGAATTCCCAGATGAAGATGGCAGGAGCAATGTCAACAACAGCAAAGGTAGGCAATTGATCCTAACTAACCCAAGTACTGGGAGTCAGGTAGTTAGGAAAAACCCGTCTGAAAATATAGTGCAGTGTGTTTTAATCTTTTTCATCTCAGAGCTCACATGTTATAGTTAGGACTTTAGGTCACAAAACCAGAGGTCCTGTGACATCACAGGTTGATGGGACCTAGAAGGAAAAATGGAAGCAATTTACCACTGTGATATAATGGAAGTAGGACAACAGCACAGCACTTCCTGTCATTTATTTTGGCTTGCTGATGCAGTATGCCAGCTGACCTTTCATGGCACACAAATGTACCATGGCACAACAGTTGAAAACTGTTGATCTAGAACATTTTGGTTGATTAGAATTACCGTATTTTTCGCTCCATAAGACATTCCTGACCATAAGACGCACCTAGGTTTAGAGGAGCAAAACAAAACAAAACAAAAAACTGCATCCCAGCATCCATGTGGTATCATCTGGCTGCGTCCTTGCAGCAAACAACAAACAGCTTGCCTCTTCCATGTCTTCGCCTCAGAGCAGCTGATCGGCAGTTAGATCGGCCTCCCAGAATAACGCCAATCAGCTGTTCCAGGTGGCAGGGATCGCTGCCTGCCATTCATTCATTCATTGAAGAGCCGAGGTGGCGCAGTGGTTAGAGTGCAGTACTGCAGCTACTTCAGCTGACTGCTAGCTCAGCAGATCAGCGGATCAAATCTCACCGGCTCAAGGTTGACTCAACCTTCCATCCTTCCGAGGTGGATAAAATGACGACCCAACTGTTGGGGGCAGTATGCTATATAGTATACTGTCTTTGGTGTAAGCCGCCCAGAGTCCTAGGAGAGTGGGCAGCATAGAAATATGACTAATAAATAAATAAGATGCACAGACATTTCCACCCACTTTTGAGAGGTAAAAAAGTGTGTCTTATGGAGTGAAAAATATGGTAAGTGGTACAGAATAAAATTGCCTAATAACTTTAAGACCTTGTTTCAGATGGCAACTAATTAAAAAAAATCTAAAACTTTTCTGACTTTTTGATGTTCCGTTATTTTGCAAGACCTTTATATTCAAAATATAAATATATATAAATATAAAGCACTAATAAGCAGGTATATACATAAAAGTATGCAGGCTGTTGCTATAATGCATTGTAAGCCGCCCTGAGTCTATGGAGAAGGGCGGCATATAAATTGGACTAATAAATAATAAAATATTATGTAAAGACTCATGCCACAATGTATCTGTTAATGTAAAATTGTTAACTGTGGGCTGGCATTACATAAACAATCCATAAACCTACCATTTTCCAGCTCCTGAACAAACAATGTTTATTCTTATACATACTTGAAACTAGCCTACCATCAACCATTGTTTGAAGCTGGCTCATTTCAGTAACCATAATTAAAATTAAATACAATGTTTGCAATCAAAGTGAAATTCTCTGCTCCAGAAAGAATACACAAAGGAGGTGGTTGATGAATCTAGTATTTGATTAGGTAATATTATTAGGGCACCCTAATTACTGTGCCCAGCACTTTAAAAATGACAAACGTGATCAGGCCAATAAAGATGTCCAGAGTCTGGAAACAAAATCATGTTTTTAAAAAAATGAAAAGGAAGGAAATGTATTGTTTTGCCATGACAAATGATTAGTGTATTGGAATATGCTAACATTCTCATATGCCTGAAGTGATGTCACAAGGAAAAAAGCCATGACGTGTTCTCAAACATCCTTCTAGGAGGATATGGAATGATAGTCCTCAATTCAGGGCAGCAGATTCCAGATGGATGCTCGGAAAACCTCCTGCCAATAAGAGCAGTAAGGTCAATTCCTTAAGGAGAAAGCAAGTTCTCCTTTGCTGAGTAAGAGGCTTAAATGGACATTTGTTAGGTGTATTTTAATCTGAATTTGTCTACCGAGTAAATATTGAACTTTGTGGCTCTAACTAGCCTACTCCAAATTTGTGAATCTGTAGTTCTAATTTATTGTTAGACCAAGCCAAATCAAAATTAGAAATAGTTATTATTAAAATCTGGTTTGCAGATAGCTTACGTCTAACAACTCTTTATGATGCTGAAACTTGGATTACAAACAAGATATGAATTTTTTTCTTTTAAATATATAAAACTGCAGTGCTGGTGTGATCCTTATATAATATTACACTACAATATTTTTGAATATGAAATGACCTTCTCTGTATTCTGGTAGACAATGCTGGCTGTCAATAAAAAGATGGATCCACAGAAGACACTGCAAACTATGCAGAATTTCCAGAAAGAAAACATGAAAATGGAAATGACAGAAGAAATGAGTAAGCTGTTTTTTCATATTATGCTAAACCTTTTTTTTAGTTCTATTTTGGGCTTTTGATATAATTGATTTCATAAATTTTAAACTAGTTTTGATTGAAGTTACTATATTCATAAACATCTTGGAAGAGAATGACAACATTCTGGGGAAGATTTATGCAGCACATTGAAATGAAATCTTTCACTGCCCGTTCAAGAGGGGGAAATGGGAATAGCTGAAACATTTAGTTTATTCCCAACATTCGTTTTAAAGATTATGTGACATAACAGTGAAAAGTTATGCTGAGGTTCTCTAGTTACTATGCTAACTCTTGGCTTTGACTTCTTTTTCAAGTCAACGATACCCTAGATGATATCTTCAATGATTCTGATGAAGAACAAGAAAGCCAGGATATTGTTAACCAAGTTCTTGATGAAATTGGAATTGAAATATCTGGAAAGGTATGAAGAAATGCCCCCCCCCCCCCATTTTAATTCACTTTGTAATAGCAGTCTTTTTGGATGTATGCTTGCAATTGATGACTGTTATCTTGGTTACATAAATTAAACTTTTCATATTATTTTTCTTTGATTAGATGGCAAAGGCTCCTTCAGCTGCGATAGGCATGCCGTCTGCATCTACATCAAAAAATGCTACAATTTCAGATGAAGAGATTGAGCGGCAGCTTAAAGCTTTAGGAGTAGATTAGCTTTATGCTAATATGAAGCCTGACTTCTATAGCTGCTCCAACTTTGGCATATGCACAAACCTCCAATACAGGTTTCAATAAAAAACCAGATTTCATCGCAAATCTTGCCTAAGCCATTATTGGTAATGGTAATTACTACAGAGAGCTGGAAGAACTAAACTTGAAAGAGAGCAAAACAAATATATGTCATGAAGAATTTGTATATCTTTTATTAAATTGGGATATTTTGTTAACAGGCCATTTATTACATATGGTTTAAATTTTTATTTCTTCAGTTTAGTTTCGAACAAAAAATATTTAGCTTGATAACTATTCCATTCATCTTTAGATTTTTACATTTTGTGAATCATTAGAAGCAGCCATTCTGAAAGCATTTCAGCTCTGCTTTAATTGTAAACACTTCTTAAGAAATAACGTGACTTAAAATGCAAGCTTGTTTTTTCTGAGTTGGAAGAGACAGTTATCTTCAGCAGAATGATTATAAAAATTTCAGTAAAAATTTAGGAAATCTTTCATTAAATACTTTTTAACAACTTTTTCTAGTTAAATTTAATGTTAAAACAATACATATGATTTTCATTGTGGAATAGTATTGATACCCAATTAATGGAACTTCTGTAGATGGCTGTGGTCTAAATGTTGGAAAGGAAAATATTGAATAATTTCCATTGTACTGTAATATAGCTGACTTGAAGAAGAGTCTGTGCCTTTGTGTATATAATGCTTGGTTTCTTTTAATTCAGTTTTGAAATGTGAGAAAACTAATGTAAGCCATTAACTTATGTTAGCACTGAAATTATGTGAACTCCATGATTGGTATGGAGTACGTAATACCTGAAAAAGATAATTTTTTCCTGCAATAGCATTTGTACATAAATACCATGCAGCATTTTTCATTAAACAAATGTTACTTTTCAAAATATCCTTTATTGTCCAATATAATATGCTCTGTATCCATTTTTACACTTGAATATTGTACACAGGCTTAACTAAAGTTAATGAATTTATTTGAATTTGCACCTAATATGGTTAAATAACACATATGTGTTATAAGACAAATAATTTACTTGAAATGTGTAGCTATAGAAGAGCAGGTAGTAAGAATATTTTGTATTTTTTAAACTGCAGTGCATACTTGACACTGATCTTGTAAGTCCAAGGATGAATCAGTGAATGGCATAACAAAATAATTGTTGAGGCTATATTATTTGACCAATAATTACATGAAAACAGCAATGAGAATGTAGCATTCAATTTTAAAATTTTAAAATTATGCATTGTCAAATTACTTAAATATGAAATTTGATTTTATAGCTACAACAATATTTAGTACAGTATATCCCAGTATGGTTAGGTTGTGTAAGCTTTTATTGTGTAAAAATGAAAAAGTTTTTTAACTATTAATTGCCAATTTAATTTACTAGATTTAATTTGCATTACTGCATAATATGGGTCTGAAATCAATATATATATATATTCTGTTAATCTTCTCATCTGTACTTTGCTATATTCAGATATTAGTTAAATTAATAACATCAGTTTTGGAAAAAGAATTGCAATTTTTAAAAATTCTTGTTTTCTTTTTTTGCTTCCAAAACATCTATAATAATTTGTATAGAATAAACTTAGTTATGAGGAGAAATAATTCATCTGGTGAAAAATATCTTAAAAATACTACCTCAGCTGAAATATTGAAAATTATGTTTAAAAATTAATTATTCTATAATTACAGATTAAGGGGAACATCTAATAGAAGAAGTAGACAGGATAAACGACCCAATATGAGACAGAATTTAATGTGGCAACTTTTCAGTTTCAGTTTGTTTTCTCATCTCTTCCTGCTTTAGGAATTTTTGCAATTTTTCCAGCCCTTGTAGGAGAGAGAAATACTTTATATTGTAATGTACTATACGAATTCATCTTAACTATAAATGATGCCAATAAAGTATTAGATTAAACAACTACAGTATATAAATACCATAATCACATTTTTTTGGTATCCGATTTGGGGTTGGGGATCAGGGATGATGATGTTTTGTGATAGCCATTTTGTGAATGGGATAGATAGTACCATGTTCACGTATCTGCTAACAACTGGATCTCCAAATTCCAAATGGGACTTGGCATATGCTTCCCATTTAAACATCAATGTACAATTTTTAAAAACTGATTTAATTAAATATAAAGAACGTATTATTGGTATGCTTAATTTATTGGTATATTTGATATTTTTAACAAATATTAGATATGTTTTCCTTTCCAGCACCAAATATTACTCCTTGCAAAAACTAAAAATGTAGGCAATAAAATGACCAAGCAGTCTTCATAACAGGAAAACATGCATGTTTTTGAGCTTTCCAAATATCTTGTCTTTCTGCACTAATATGATGGGTCTTCCAGAGCAATAGACCCTTCACAAATGATTTTGAAGAACGGCCTAGAAGTTGCACAAGCATAATTTAAAGTTGATATGACTTTTAAATAGCTAGACTTCTTTTTCCGGCTGGTATAGAATCCTGAAGAAAAAGAAACATCTTAATGAATAGCAGGGAGGTGTGAAGTGTTCTTCTCAATCATTTTTGAAGTATACAGTTTTAATGTCTTAAGTAAAGGTACTTACAGAAATACATAAATTTTCACTATTAAATACATTTATAAAGGTGATATGCTATTTTCTTTGTCGGTGTAGTGGGGCAAGAAGTTTTTCAAACAAAGCTAAGAAATTCATTTGTCTGTGGAAAGAATTCTAGCACTCTTGATGGTCCTTAATAATGGAATTAAAGGTGTTCTGGTGTAAACTTGTCTTTACTCTCTTTTCTCTTTGTCTTCGATTGCAGAACCAAACTCTCACCACTTCCTTTTCCAGATTGAGTCCCTCTGCCATTCTCATGATCTCTTGAGATGAAGGCTTGCTTTGTTCTGCAAAATGGCTTTCCAAAGCTTCTTTTGCGGCAATACTGAAAATAAAAATACCATATTGCAATCATATTCCAAACAGGGCTTTTCTTCGTGCTTTGTGAAAACAGCGTGCACCTTATATGTAATTAGTATCTCAGTGTTGTAGAGTGTGAAATCATATGTACATTTTATATGTCTGGGTACACAACAGATAGACTATAGAACAAGGGTTCTGGGGAAGGCCCACTTCCATGTTCACCCCAATCAGTGCCTAAAGTAGCATAAAAAGAGATTAGCAAAACAATTGGTGGAACTCTTAATATCCTATGTCCCAAAGGTGCTTTTTCAAGAGGGAACTGGTTTTTCTTTGAAGATGTTTCGCTTCTCATCCAAGAAGATACTTCAGCTCTGAAATCCTATGTTGCCATTCATCCCCTAATATTCATTAGAGTGGCATTAGATTTAAATTTTTAATTCAGTAAACTTGCAGATAGCTTTTTCCAGAAAGAAGCTCAAAAGAATAAAAATTCTAAATAGATTGATAGAGATATATAGATGATTTGGCTAATGTAATTGTATTGCTATTGCCAAAATTTAAAGAAGATTCGTAGGGCTAATGGCAATTATAAGCATTATTGGGCATAGCTGAGAGCTATAGGGGCCTGCTGATGCTCTGCTCTTGGCTGCTGCTTGACCTTATTGTCAGTGCTTATTTAGCAGGACTCAACAACAACAGTGAAAAGAAACATCTTCATTGGCCTTATGTTCCCCATTCAATAAAAGAAAAAGTAACAAATTACAGGAAGAAAGGATCCAAGGCTCATGGTTCTCTCAGTACTTCCAAACGATGTATATTTAAATAATTGTTCTTTGCTGCTGTTCTTTCCCTTTACTATTGCTTTGATGTTATTGACATATTTTATGACTAACCTTCCTGGAAATAATGAATATGAACAGTTCCATTTATCTAGGGAAAACTAAGGACAAATGAGAATGAACACAATGTCTCTTGTCTTTCTCTTAATCCTGTGAGCAAATTCTTTTGCTTCCTTTTGTGTCAATTTGGCGCACAAAGATTCTTTTCTGCTTTAATTACAGTTGCTTTGATTTGGCTTATAAGTGCTATAAAAGATTCTATACAGTAATAACATTTTTATTCTTAGTTTTAACAGAATTCATTTCAAGATGCAATATAACTGTAGCCAACAATTCTAGTCACAAGAGGGCAGCACAGTACTTCAGTTTTGATATAAAAGCAGTATTCTGTTAAATATTAGTGATGGTGATTTTGAAGTTTGAGGTGATCATATAAACTGTACCCATTTTGAACAGTTTACAATCTGATAAAATTATAAATAACACAAAGCAAAAATTAATATGAATACAATAGAAACACAGTTCTTTTTTTTCTTTTTTTTAAAATTTGATTTATATGCCACCCTTCTCCGGAGACTCAGGGCGGCTTACAGTGCGTTAAGCAACTTCTTGTTTTGATTGTTGAAAAGATTCAGTTGTTTAGATTAAAATACATGTTTCAATGGATTCTTCATTGAATATAACTTGATATAATCTCAGTAAGGTACAAAACAAGATGCTTTTCTAAGAATATAAACAAATATTTATAGTTTAGAAATTCAAAATAAGAAAAATATGGTAGATAGAGAAGTTAGGATGCCCTCCAATCAGTATTTTGTATTTTTATTTTTGTAATTATGGCTAAGTTAATATTTTTCAAATATTTTCTGTAATCATCTAAGCATCTTTACATTCTTTGGAATTTTTCCCACCTTAACTTGCAAACGTTTTCTAGATCAGAAATATTCTTGGGTATCTTTACTTGTATTGCATATTTGAGATCTCCCAATAGACTTTTAATAATATTCAGATTTAGGAAATAGTTCCACATTCCCTTCCTCCCTGCCTGCTATGTGCCTACTGACCACTTCATAGTTGAATTTGAAATACATTTTGTATTGTATTGCTGTAAAATCCAACTTCTTTTCAACTTCAATTGTTCATATTTTTCAGAAACATGTAATACAGTATTTATTTTCACAGTTCACAGAAGTTCTGTCACCCTCTGTTCATTTAGAAATTCATTGAAACCTACAGTTTAATCAGGCATGTCCAAACAATTGCATACAAGTTGTAGATCATTATGAGAAAATATAGTAGAGAAGCCTAATCATCAAGACAGAATCCCTATCACGCATGAGGACTATACATGTGAAAAAGGTGCATTTCTTATTACCTAATGGTGGTTCTGCGTTTTCTTTTCCGTTCATTCATGCCAACTTTTTCATTGTATAGAGCTATACAGTGAAAAAAATAATTAAAAATAATTAATTTCAGGTAGTTAATGACAATGTTGCAAAACATCTTGTGTTACCTGTACTGTGTTTAATATTTGTTTCTGTTTGTATTTGGTATTTTATAAAAGATATGTTTATATGTGATAGTGAGAGACTAAACTTCAAACTAAACTCTTATGACAAACATTATGCATTATGGTTGCTATGGTCTTGTATAATAAATGCTAAATTGTTTAGAATTATTTTGTGCAATATGGCTGTTAGGAGAACACATTTGAATACATCAGGAGCATATGACATCCAGTTTGTATATATTGGGATAATGATAAGTTTTTTGGCATTTGGTCTCTACACTACCACACTGAATTTGATATGAAACAGTCAAGATGTGAGTGAAATGACGACTTTCATCTTTAATTCAAGGGGTTTGACAAAAGTGTGGTCACCCATTAACCACTGAGGACTTGCAGCCATTTTAATATACCCACCTCTATTTTTGGTGGCTCATAAATGATGGAAGAAACTAACATAATTACAAATATAAGGATTATTTTTAGTACTTGGATCAAAATCCTTTGCAGTCAGTAAAGTCTGGAATCTATGGATATGACCAAATGCTGAGTTTCCTCCTTTGAGATGCTTTGTCATGCCTGTGCTGCAGCCTTCAGTTGTGCTTGTTTGTGTATCTTTTTGCCTTCAGTAAATAAAACAATACGCTCTTTCGGGTTGAGATCAGTGACTGACTTGGCCAGTGAAGAATATTCCATTTCTTTGTCTTGTTTGCCTTTTATTATCAATCAAGTCATCAATAAACACCGGTGACCCAGTTCCATTGACAGCCATACATACTATACAATGCTATAACATTGCCATGTTTGACAGATGATGTATGCTTTGATCATGAGCTATTAGTTTTCCATACTTTTTCCATTGTTCTGGTACAAGTTAATTTTTATTTCATCAGTCCAAAGAATATTGTTCCATAATTGGTGAGGCTCTTTTAGGTGTTTTCTGACAAAATCTAATCTGATCTTTCTGTTCAGGTGTGTTACCAGTGCTTTGCATATTGTTGTGAAGCCTCTGTATTTACATTCATGAAACTATCTTTTGACTGTAGACTTTGATAATGACATCACTACCTCCTCAAGAGTGTTTTTTGACTTGGCCAATGTTGCGAATGGGTTTTTCTTCACCAATGACAGAATTCTCTGGTCATCAATTTAATCATCTTCCATGGTCTTCCAGGTGCTGTGGTGCTGCTAAGCATGTTAGTTTATTCTTTCTTTTATATTCCAAACTCTTTTGGCTATTTTGAATATTTTTCCTATCTGATTGATTGATTGCTTGATTGATTTTATTTTTGTTTTTTCAGTCTAATGATGGCTTCTTTCACTTGCATAATACCTGTTTGGACATCATGTTGAATGTTCCAGTGAGCAGCTACCAAATGCAAATGTAACACTCAGAACCAAAGCCAGATCTTTACCTGCTTGATTTGTCATGGACTAATCAAGGAACAAGGCACACCTGGAACTGCTTGTCAACCACTTGTCCCATTATTTATGATTCGCCAAAAATTGGGGTGCATGTATTAAAATGGCTGTAATTCCTCAATGTGTCATGCCACACTTTTGTTAAACCTCTTTAGTTAAAACTGAAACACCACTTTGTTCATGTTGAGTGTTTCATTTCAAATTCAATGTGGCTGTGTACAGAGACCAAGTGCCCAAAAAACCTATCATTGTCCCAAAATATATGAATCTGACTGTATATTTGGCCAAAAACATTTGTTCTGCTGACATTATTTCTGCAACCTTTGCATTTGTGTAAATCTACATATTCATAGTCTTCTGAGGAAATGCTTCATAATTGGCCTTCACATATGTTATCAGACAAATAAGTGTTATCTTGATGCATTCTCAAATTAAAAATGTGTAAACAGTATTACTTCTTAAAGTAGCTTTATAATTGCCTGAAATGATAGAGTTTAGAAACATATTTAGCATTACCGGTTTAAGCTGTAGATTATACTTTACTATTTCTGTCAGTGAGGCTGTAAAATATTTGATTTTGTTTATATGCACTTTTCCCGTACATTCAGTGAACATGTATAGTGCAAAAGGAATCACACTGTTTCCATAACATTAATGTATCTGGTCTCTATTTACAATACATACTATACATCAGTGTGAAGGGATTCTACATATGCAGATACATATGTTCATAGAAACAAACACAACATTTGTTATAATGCAAATATACAATAGCTTAGCTTTCCACAGGTACATGGCACTAGACTTGGACATAGATTGTGAGAATAATTCAGTTCTTCCTTTAACAAATAAGGGAATTATTGTCTGAAAACAATCATGCTGCCTGTATATTTTCACTGTTCCATGTACTGTCTTAAACATGCAATGTAATATTTAAGTTTTGAAAGGAAAGAAGTTCTTTGGAGCACAACGAATACGTTGTGGATTTTTGCCCTGTTAACAAATCCTTAAAATAGCTACATTTCTTCCTTAAATTCAATGGCTGCACTCCACAACCACAGCATTATCCTAACCCTAATGTTCATTTGGTTTAGTAAGTTGCTGATGAGTGCTAGGTGTGTATCCATGTCTGTTCAAAACTTTTCAGGTTCAAATGCGGCAGTCTTAACTTGCACATAAAGACAAATAGTTTTTTAAAAATCTGTGATACCTCCTACTTGTTCTGCTTCCTCCAACCACTTCGTTAATATGGATTTTAGTTTGCATGCATTCTTGAAACTCAGTTGCAAGTTTTCAAACCGGCAAATAGTAGTCTGGCTGAATTCAGAGCCGTGCACTGCAGCTAGAGCTTCTCCAACATTTGTTTGTGTATAACCTGCCGAAAGAATCAAACTAAAAATCCAAGGTCAAAAAAGAGTGGTAGGTGTAGTTATTTTCAATCACTGAATATGATACTTTAGAATAAAAATATACAGTATTTCAGTTGTCTAGTTGCATGAATTACATACCTAGCTTAATTCTTCTCAACTTGAACTCATTGGCAAATTTCTCCAACTCTCTAATTTCTGGAGAATCCATATCTATTGGTTCATCAAGTGACTTGGCCTTCTTTCGAAATTCCTGCTTAAAATCAGTGGTAGGATCTGCTCCAAGTAGAGATGGATGCATGGAACTAAAGCTGTGGCCTAGAGCACATGAACTGGCACTCAGAGCATGCTCAGGGAATTTATACAGGCATGGAGTGAGACCACCTATTCAGAAGCAAAACACATATAGCTTTCTGATTAAAAACCTATTTTAAGGAGATAAAATATTGTATTAGTTTTATTAAGTGTATATCAATCATTGGTAAAGAATGGGTAATGATAGCTTACGTTGTTAGTGTTTTGAATTCAGTCACAATTGTTTTTAGAGAACATGTGCCTGAATATTAACAACAGTATTATAATGATATCTGTAAAGACACGGAAGATGAAACAGAAAAAAAGAAAAGTCATTCAAAAGATCTCTGAGCTCAGAAGGCTGTTGTAACCTCAGATTGGGAAACCTACATTGGACAAACAGTAACTGATTTTTAAAAAGTCCATCTTTAAGAGGGAAAGAGTGAAGAAAAATACTATACAGTAGAGATGTTGACATCAAAGAAATCTTAGTAGGTTCCATAAGTACAAAGACCTTTAGTAGCAGAACATTAAGATAGATCAGCACTATAGGTGGTAGTTGGAAGATTTCAGGAGTTAATGAATTACTCACAAAAATATGGTAAGCAACAGAAGAATAACAGTTCCAACCAAGGTATTATAGCAAATTTGTAGAAAGGCATGCTAGCCAACAGAAAGGAAATTTTAAAATAGTACAAATTATACAATACCTTAATTTTACAAACTTGCAAAATAAAGCTAAGTATGTATGATTCAGATTATAAACTTTTATAAAAGGGAAATTAACATGTGATCAGGCTGGTTTTAGAAGAGACATCATTGCTGATTCACATTGGTTAAATGTGAAATCCAGAAAATATCAAGTCAATATGAGCTTCACTGATTGTAGATGTCCTTGTTTGTGTCAACCAAATCAAGTTATGGAATGTGTTTACGAGAATGGGAATCCCAAAATATTTCATTCTACACATATACAGTGTATACTGTTTTAGATAAATCAATGAAGGATAAATAGTAGATTGAACAACCATGCCCGGTGTATGGTCCTTAATGAATCTATGACTACATGGAGGGAGGTATGCATGAGAGTATCTGAAAGTACTGTCCTTGGCACAGTTTTCTTCACTATTTTTATAAATGACTTAAGGATCTAGAAATACATTGAGAAAATTTGAAAATAATACAAAAGTGAAAGATAACACATCAGAATGCAGTCTCGCATTTCAAAAAAACTTGATAGGTTGTATGTATCTAGCAAAATTCTGTTCAATGGTGATAAACGTAAGATCTCATTTTGTAGGAAAACCAGATGCACAAATACAAGGTAGATAGAATCTGCTTCTGTAGAGCACAGATTAAGCATGAGCCAACAGTGGCTGCAGCTGAAAAAGACAATTAGACCCTATCAAGAGCACAGGAAGACAATAAGAGATGGTTAAGAGGAACTTCACCAGAGGGGGGAGACTTGCCTTGTAAAGTGCCAACTCCATTCACAACATTGGGATGAGACATGCTGCAGGTCTGCAAAATACGGCTTTGAGAGAGGCTTGCTGCCAGCACATCTGGAGCAGTAGGCTTGATACCTATTAGAGATGGACGGGAGGGAGAGGAGACTGCAAGAATATCAATTGAGAGATAAGGAATTCCACTTTAGCTTTAGCCCATAATAGCATTAATAAATAAGAATTATTCCTGCAACTTTTTCTTTTTTAAAAAAAATGCATTGTATCATATTCATTTAGTGCAGCCTTTGTCAGTTTGCAGCCCCCTAAATATTGAACATTTAAGAAATATTTCAATTTAAAATACTGTTGTTTATTCTCAGTAATCTAAGTCATGGTTGTCCCAAAAGTGCTTTTTCAAAAGGCAACTGGACTTTCTTTGTTTTTCCTTGAAGGCATTTCGCCTCTTATCTACAAAGTTTCTTCAGTTCTGACTGAATGGTGGAAAATGGAAGGCTTCATATTGCTTGCAGTCATCTGTTGTTATCACTCTCATGACCAAGTGCAAGGAATATAAATCCTTCCATTCCCTACTATTCGGTCAAAATGGAAGAAGTTTCTTAGATGAGAAGCAAAATGTCTTCAAAGAAAAACAATGAAAGTCCAGTTGCCTTTTGAAAAAGTACCTTTGGGACAACCATGACCTGGATGACTGAGAATCTGCATAGACATTCCAGTCACCTATAAATAATACTATGTGTTTTTTCTTGTTTTATTTAGAATCTCTTGCAGTTTTCCACAGAATATTTATCTGGAAGCTTTTATTTCTTTTTAATCGATGCCAAGATTCTTTTTAGGAAGTTTAATTATTTCACATGGAGAATTGCCATGAGAGATAATGTAGGTGAATCATGAGAAGTACGACGAACTGTTCTACAAAGATTTACATCAGTATTTTCAACTCTGTCAAATTTAAGGCATGTGGAATTTAGGGGCCGGGACTTAAAGTTGTCAAGGTTGAAAAACACTGGTCTACATAGAGTTCTAATTGCAATATAAACAGTCTAGTGAAATTGGAGTGAAACTGCTTCTCACTCTTTTCCATAGTTTCCTTTCTTTTTTTTCCTTTTTTTTTTTTAATTTGATTTATATGCCGTCCTTCTCCGAAGACTCAGGGCAGCTTACAATGTGCTCAGCAATAAAGGGGAATTTATTTTTATGATAATGACACAAGACCAAAGAAAGGCCTTTATCAAGATACTTCTCATGGATCAGACCTCTTTATGTAAGCATTTACAAATCCTTAATGGAGAGAAAATCCAAATGATTGGTCTTACATTTATTATACTTAATATCCATGCTTTCTATACATGCTAACCCTTTGTGATAACACAATGACAATATTAGCTAATGGACCAAAAATGATCCCAAGTAGCCATGATTATGAGATTTTCAGGCTTTTAGACTAGCACTCACTTTGGCAGCAGATTTTGGTAATTGCCATAGGGAAGCTATAGTTTCAATGAACAATTACTTGGAATTGTCTTTATTATTCCCACAGACTCAAAATGCTATAGATTTTATTTCAGAAAGTATTTCTTACCTGCCATCATCCCATATGCAGTTTGTTGGTTTCCATAATGACAAGAAGGAACAGAATAATGCAGACCTGGAGGCATATTTCCCATAATAGCCATGGAAAAGCATATATGGGCATATTTAAGGGTTGGGTTCAAAGACAAATAGATGAGACCAGTAAGAACATGTATATGAATTCATAAAATATTATCTCTATCAAAAGATATGAAAATTATCTTTTGGATTTGTCATGAGCTGAACTCACTGAATATCTTAAGAATATGATATTGTTTGATTTCTACATGCAGCAATTCAGTCATCCAATTTAATGACTACAGGCCCAGTTTTCATCCCATTTTCTCTGCCTAGTAAGTTATAGGCTGAAACATGGAATAAACTGGGCAGATAAACTCAGCACATGTTGAGTTATGTATATTTCAATTCATGTCATATATTTAGGTATCAATTTAGTAAACTCATTTCCTCATGATTTTTATAAAAAAGGTTATCTAAATAATAACAGTACTATGATTATTACAGAGTAGTTGAATAAGACAGCATATAATTTTAATGAAGTATTATAATTATTACTATTGTTATTCAGGATACTGTAAATATTTTTTTAAAAAACAACTCCTTAGTTTTCAAATATAGCATAAAATAAGTATTTTACTACATTACAAAGATCAATATTATGACAGCTGTATTGAGTTTTCTTTTATTCACTTTTGAAGTCTGCTTCAAATTCGGTAATCATGCTCCTCTAAAGTTACATTTAAATTGTTCTATTATTTTAACTGTAAAACACTTTGAAAGAATGATACTCTGAAATATAGTACAATATGAAATAAAATCTTTGAAAGTATGTATATGTCATATAGAAAGAAGAAAGAGATCAACTGAATAATTGCCCACACTCTCTTTGACTTGAAGATCTTTTTTACGAAGAGGATAAGTATACCTGCATGGAACTCTGAGCAATTTTTACCATACAAAATGAAGGGCTGGATTACATATTTCACTGTAAATATATTGTTTTCTTTATAAATGGCACCTTGAATGGATAAAGATTAGGAATGGTCGTGATGAGTATAACTCTATTCTTTCATTAACATGTCAATGGTATAATGAATGACATGTTGTCTGATTATTTCAGAATCATGGCCTGTGCCTGCTAGTTTTACCTTCATTTCTTATATTAGTACATATTTCAAGGTCAAGCAACAAAAATTCCAGTAATCATTTAAGATTATGCATTGAAGTGTAATAATATTGCATATTTAAGACAGGTCTGTGATCTGTAACTTTAATATCATGCAAAACAAAATACATAAAATATTAGCTATTGTGTTAAGAATTAACTGGGCGAATGTCTTCTTGATTATGTTAATTATTCTTTATTATGCAAAAATTATGATGATACTTTATTTATTTTTTTATTTATTGTAATTTGTCAAACAAAAATAAAAAGACAATGACAGGGACAATAGGCATGTTAGTGCACTTATGCACGACTCCTCTACGGACCTCTTAAGTATGAAGTGAGGTCCACGGAAGTCAATTTGTAACTGAAACTCTGGAAATTTGTAGCTGAGACAACTGAATCAGGCAAGGCATTCCAGACTTTGACAACTCTATTACAGAAATTGTATTTTTTACAGTCAAGTTTAGAATGATCTACATTGAGTTTAAAACGGTTGTTCGTGCACGTATTATTGCGATTAAAACAGAAAAAGTCATTTACAGTCATTTACAGGTAAAACATTACTACGTACAATTTTGTACACAATACCTAAGTCTGACCGCAAGCAATGCAATTCCAAGTTATCCAAATCAAGCATTTTGAGCCTAGTAGCATAGGGAATTCTATTATGTACAGAAAAGTGCAAAACTTTTCTCGTAAAGGCTCTCGTAAAGAAGCTGCTCGATCATACTAATGTCAGATATATGGTAGGGATTCCAAACAGTTGAACAGTACTCTAAGATTGGTCTAGCATAAATTTTATAAGCTCTAGCTAGCAATACAATGTTTCCAGAAAAGAAGATTCATAGAATTAAGTTTACAACTCTTAGTGCTTTTTTAGTAACGCTGTTACAGTGAACTTTGGAGCATAGATCATCAGAGATAAATATGCCTAGGTCCTTAACAAAGTGGGGGTCATTTGCTAGATCAATGTCACCTAGCTTATACTTGACATTCTGATTACGTTTACCAATATGTAAGACAGAGCATTTATTAATCGAAATTTGAAGTTGCCAAGTAGATGACCATTCAGACACATAGTCAAGATCACTTTGCAAAATAACAGATTTATCTGTAGTATTGAATAATTTTATGTGATCGGCAAAAAGTATACAGTTGCTTTTAAATTGATCATATAAATCGTTGATATAGAGCAAGAAAAGTGTGGGTCCTAAAATGCTGCCTTGCGGAACACCAGTGTTAACTGATGTAGGATTAGACAGCAAGTTCCCTATTTTGACTTTCTGCAGTCAAAGAGAGCAGCAATCCACTTGTGTAAAAGTCCAGAAATGCCACAAGAATTTAATTTCAACAGCAGTTTATCATGTACTACTGTATCAAAAGCCTTACAAAAGTCTATGTAAATTGCATCTACAGCTTTACCTTGATCAAGACATGTAGTCCAGATATTTTTACAGTGCAAAAATTGTAAATTACAGGACGAGTTTTTCCTAAAGCCAAACTGTTTGTTGTATAGCAGGTTATTTGTCTTTAAGTGATGATACTATTACATTTTATTTTAAACCAAGATTCTTAGTTAAAAACATCCATGCAAATTTGCAAACAAACATGATCATTTTAAGGCTGATCTTTTTCTGGGAACTTCAAAAAATAAATTTAAGGAATTTGTATATATTGCACTATTTAAAAGAAGGCTGCATAATAAGTTGCAAATCACGAATTGAAAATAAACCATTCTGTGGTAGACTACTCTTGACCTTAATTGTTACATATATGAAGCAGACTTTAAATAATTAAAACAGAAATAAATTATACTCCTGAAACAGCTGAATAAATCAAAATCTCCACAGAATGGTTTATTTGCTTTTTCATTTCTTTTGAATTTAAAATGAGGTTTCTGGTGCATATTCTTATTTGTTCTACAGGATACAACTGTGTAACAAAGCACTGTTATTAACATCTGCTGCTTGCATTTACTGCAAGTTCAAATCTCACCAGGCTCAAAGTTGACTCAGCCTTCCATCCTTTCAAAGGTAGGTAAAATGAGGACCCAGATTGTGGGGGCAATAAACTGACTTTGTATAAAATATAAAAAAGTATGAAGACTATTTATTAACGCATTGTAACCCGCCCTGAGTCTCCGGAGAAGGGCGGCATATAAATTAAAGCAAAAAAAAAAAAAAAGATTATATGCCAAACTGTAAATGTGTTAAAATGTTAATTCAGCAAAATGCTGAAGAATGAAACAAATCAAATATTGAGTTCCTTTTCAATAGGAATATGGCTATTGATTTGCTCCCCAGATCAATGCAGAGTTGTGATTTAAGATCTGAAATCAGATCTTAAAGTTCTTAAAGTTATATCAAAGTTCTGGTCGAAATGACCCCCCCCCCCCAAACTTCAGTTTCTGCCTATTTAGTAATATTGCATTATTTAGTTGTTCCAAAAAGCTATCACAGCAAACTTTGGTGTTTTAAGATAAAGATAAAATTTAGAAATCATTCTAGTTTACTTATCTGCTTGTTATTGTTTTTTTAAAATAGCCTATATCGCTTATTTATATTAATGGAATGATTAATTAGGGCAGTTTCCATTCCTTTATTTCTTCGCTCTGATCATGAACTTATTTTCATGGAAGCAATTTCAGTGGAGTATTAGATATTCATTGTTTTAAGTTCTGTATGTATATGAATGAAAATAAATCTTAAAAAATCCCTTTTTCTTGTGAATATGTATTGACAAACACCATTCAAAATGCCTAAATATCAAGCTATCAATTGATGTACAAATCAAGAAAATTGTCTATAGATTAATTTTTCCAATGGCATGATTAAAACAGTACTAAAGAAAACTAAAGAAAGCATATATATATGCTTACTTGGAATTCTAACTCTTTGAATACACTGGAATTTATTAAGTAAACAAGCAAGCACTCAGAAGTAAAGCTATTATTAAAAAAAATAAAATACAAGTTCAGTTAAAATCTTCCAGCAAGAAAATATTTATATTCCTTTTCCAAGAATTATCTATACATCAGTTTATGAATCAATATGAATCAATATTTCACTAATGAATATTACACTATAGTTTAGTACCATATAAAATATTGTATAACAATTTCTCAAAGTTCTCAAATGAAATTAAGAATTTCAAAATTTTGTAGTTCCATTCAGCTGGAAGCAGAAGATTTCTTTCAGGTACAACCATCAACTGCCAGATTAAGTTGATGTGAAATATTCTATTAAATATATTAAAATAACATATCATCAAGTCTTTCTCATTCCTTTTAAAGAATCAGTAGAAATATTAACCGAAATCATTTCTCTAAATACATGTATAGAATACAAAGCTGCAAAACTTTATACATACTTTCATTGTTTAATAATGTAAAGGTTATTCTCGAGGTAAATTACAAGCAGTTATTACTTTGACGTATTCATCAAATTTTATTTTGTATCATACTTGTAATTATGTGGACAATGATAAAGAGTCAGCAATGGAAAAACTATTTTTTAAAAACAAATCATAAGACAGGATGGAAAGAGATAAAAATGATTTTTTTTTCATTGCATTGCAATTAAATTACAGTCTTTCATAAAGAAATTCAATATTTTTACATAAACAGCATGATAGTTTACTTTCTTACCAATGAATTTTTACAATATTAATAGTATTCTATATTTCACAGATTGAATTAATTCCAACTATTTGAGAAAAAAGCATAATGAAAATCAGAAGGAAGTGCAAAGTCATTTTCATATCACCTGAAATAAATTAATTTTGCATAATTAGCATCAAAATGGATTACTTCAGGATTGGAGCACTGACAGATACCTACCATTCATTTAAGTCATTACCTGTCATTTCATAAACTGTAATTTTTCCATTTTTTTCCATTCTGTGCCAGAATGGAATTTCCTTTTAAAAGGAAAGAAAACAAAAAGTTTGTATTCTTTTCAATTTAATGAGTTCAAATCATTAAATATTGAGTAGAATGATATTGATTTGATGGTCGAATATTGATTATAAGGTTGGCCTCAAAGAGCAATGTGAAATCAAAGTGGTAATTAAAAGACATCATAAGCTAATTAAATACCGTTTTTGCTTGAAGAATTTCTTAAATTATTTGTATAGCATAGCAAAGATGCTAAACTGAAGCTGGTAAAAAGGCACACTGATAAAAGTAGCAATTTTATAATAAGAGAAACGGTACCTGTAGACACCACATTAGTGGCATGATTGGAGACAGGCAAGCACTCTGCAGCACTATGATGCATTATCAGAGGCAGAGTGGGAGACGAGTCAGAAGTCAAGGGTATGAAGGTGTCAGCTGAAGAAAAGACTTGACAACTCATTCCCACCAAAAATAAGCAAAAAATAAGTAAATAGAATGAGGGCGAAAGAGGAATGAAGGTATGCCTTGCCTTGCTTTTCTCCCAAGACTATCCTATACAGTTACAGCAACTCAAATTCAGTTGGCCAACTTCATTACTTGCATATATACATAATGTGAGTTATGGTGCACTGCGAGTTGTGTGCAGGCATTTATACCACCAGGAAATCCTTTTATCCATGTTAATGGGCTTTGCTAGGCTGTGTTGCTTAATCACTCTGGAAACTCCTTCTTTCCCACCCAAAGGCAATAGATACCCAATTAATGAGGGGAAACAAGAGAGCTAGTTTTTCAAATTCTTTCAAGCTGGCTTTTGTGAAGGAAACAATATTGGATAAAGCTATATGAGGGAGTCATTTTACCCCAGTTGCTGCTCATGAGGAGGAGGAAAGCTTCTCTGCGTTATCTTATGAACACCTGCCTAGCCTTTCCCTATCCCCAGTAAATATTGAGAAATTAAAATGTTATACATGATATTACATTCCAAAATGCAGCGATCTGATTTATTTCTTTATATCTGGAGAATATAAATATGAATAATTAATTTAAAAAATCTTAAATATATTTTAGAGCCTGGGAAAACTGGGTTGGATATATTGTTTTATGAATCAGTGTTTATTACTTTAGGACACGGGAAAACATCAGTTTTCTCAGTCCTGTCAACTTATACAGTTCACTGTCTTAGAAATCCCAAAATCCCAACCTCAGAAAATCTCAAAAGAAGCATGCTGAGGACAAGCCAGAGCAAAATGATGAGAAAGGAGAATAATTTATATCCAAATTCATCCAATCCTAAAATAACAGTCTAATCCATGGTATAAGGTTAGACTATTTAGTTTGCTGGAATACATTTTTTTATTCAACTTGCCCATGGGATACCCAGATAGTAGAGTGTTTAGACGACAACACCAAAGTTGGAGCAGATTTGAAAACAGATTTGCTTCAGCCATGAAAGCTCAGTGGATGACTTTGGACTAATCTGTCTATCATCACAACTACCTGGTTATTGAAGGTATTTGCAGTTATGCTTGTATATCTATCCAATGCATGAGATTTTAATTCTGATGCCTTTGCTCCTTATTTCACATCCTTATATTATCATCATTGCCACCACCATCATCACATGATTATGGCAGGAACAGAATTTGAAGAATAGTATTGTGAATGATGCTAGGTAGAAATGGGGGATATGAATCTAACAACCAAGCAAACAGTCAGAAGGATTTTGTTTTCTTTTAAATAAACATCGCTCCTTGCTCCATCTCTCTCTGGCTTTTCAAATCACTTTACTTTTGGAATGTTCCAACTGAAAAGCAAAATTGCTGCATTAATATCAGCTGTTCTCTTGATCTCTTTTTTTATGTGCATTTAATTTCATTTAATAACATTGTGCCTTGGGCAGGGTAAGAACTATGGTTGCAAACGAAGGGATGAAATATCCTATGGTGATGCAAATAATATTGTTGATGGTTCCCACTTCTTGTCAGCTTCATCTCCATTAATGGAAGAAGCGTCATAGAACTGGAGAAGATAACAAAATACAAAGACCTACAAATATAAATAGAATGATTATGGCAAAGGCAAGCAAGGGTAGTACCAATAGTAATAGGTGCCTTGGGTGCAGTCCCAAAACAACTGGAGCACCAGTTGAACACCATAGGCATTAACAAATTTGCTACTAGTTAACTGCAGAAGGCAGATTTACTTGGAACTGCATCCATCCTGTGACAATATCTGTAATACTGTCAAACATCCAGATTTGCCTGTCCCAGGTCCTTGGTAAGGACTCGATAGGTATGTTCTGACCTAGACTCCCTTAAAAAGCAGGAAGCAGGAATAGGTCCCAGCAAAACCTCTTTTATTTACACAACTGTGAATTACTTTCATTCACAGTCAGCAAGGTTTGTCCAAACAGTTTTTCAAAGGAATATTTATCAACACACCTTATCTCGTTTGGCAAGGTGCCATGTAACTTGTTTCCAAATGCAGAGTAAGGCAAAACTTGGCACAGAGTCTCTTAGAGTCATGAACAGAATTTTCCACTCTTGAAACTACCGAATAAATGAATTGCTTCCTGTAAAAGCCCCCTCCCCTTTCGCTCCTCTTTTGTTTCCTATGGGACAGGCCAATCATCTCCAAGGTGTGGCTTTACTCCCAAGTCGACCCTGTTTTCTGAGTTGTTCTTGTCTTCTGACAGCTCTGCGCATGCACACACTGGTAATGGGCTCCAGCTGTTCCTCTCATTGCTGTCTATTTCCCGTTCTGCCTCTGATGCAGAGCCTCATCCGAGCTTTCCCCAGCCCCCAGGACTGGCCCATGTTTCTCCCCAACCTCCTCCCTGTCTGACTCTGCTGCCAGCTTAGCTGGCCACTGGTGGGCCACAACAAGGTAGATCAAAATGCCAAACCCAGTCTGAACATCTGGCTGACTGTGCAATGAATTGTATTATTATTATTATTGCTAAATTAGTCCACTGGTCTTTATGTAAAAAATATGACATACCTGTATCTGAAAAGTCATGGGAGCACAAAGTGGAAAAAGTTATCGAAAATAAGACAGTGAAGATTTTGTGGGACTTTTGAATACAGATATATCATCATTTGGAACATAACACGCCAGATATCATGGTTGTTGAGGGCCGAAGCATACAGTTTATTGATATCGCTGTACCAGAAGACGCCAGAGTTAAAGAAAAAGAACTGGAAAAAAATCATGAAATATTGTGACCTGGCCATTGAAACTACACGGCTATGGATGAAACATGTAACAGTGATACCTATTGTCATTGGAGCACTTGGTACCATGTCCAAGAATTTTACAAAACACATCAAGAAATTGCAGCTTCCTGCAATAACACCAGAGGAACTGCAAATAACTGCACTACTCGGAACATCATATATTTTAAGAAGATACTTGGTTGATACCTAAGACCCTGGCAGCAACCCATATCAACTATTAGCACCAGTCAATCATATTTGTGACACATTTTTAAATGTTCAGTTGATTGAGTTTCATGTTTAATGAATAAAAGAAATAATAATAATAATAATAATAATAATAATAATAATAATAATAATAATAATAATAATAATAATAATAATAATATGGAAAAATTGTGAAATGGGAACACAGACTGCTGAACAACAGACTGCTGAAGTGGTAGCAGAAAATACTCCAATAACATCTGGAGCAACTGAACAGCCTGAATTAGAAGAAAATGCAGATATTTTGCAAGAACAGGATCAGCAAGGGCCTGAAGTCATCATTGAACACCAGAAGTACTTAATGCCAGGCAGCAAGAACTGAAAGCTAAAATCTTGGCACATGTTGCAATAAATGCAGAAAGAAGAAGGCTTCCAACATTGAAGACTGTGCCTAGAAAACATTTGGCGCCATTGATGATAGATGCAAACTATGCACTTGCAGCAGTCCAGATAACGTGAATTGAACAAACAAATCAGTACAGCAGCCATAGTAACGGAAGAACTGGGGATTCAACAGCTGCAGGTCCCTAGAAAATTGATTGGAAAACCGCAATGGAAAATCAGGTTGGAATTGAAAATCAATAGCCTAGAGCAGATGCAAACAACCTGAAGAATTTGCAAGAGAAAAAGCTGAAGAACAGCAAGATCAAGAAACACCTGATAAAAAAATACGGGCTCAGCACAAGAAGAAATGACAAAATTTGAAATTGTGAAGCAGCAGATAACAGCAAGAGCAAGAAAAATTGAAAGATACAAAGCCAGAGTCATCCAGTACAAACAAAATCAATTGTTCCAATCAGACCAACGACGGTTCTATCAGAGTCTGAATCAGACGGGGGATATGAAAATTGAAAAATCTGAGAAAATGGCAACTACTCAGTTTTGGAAAGACCTGTGGGAGACTGAGAAATGTAATAACAAAAGTGCTGGGTGGATCAGAGACTTTGAGACGAAATTCTCCAAGAACAAAATGGACCAACTGAAAATAACTACTGAAATGATAAGCAACAGAGTGAAAAAAGTCAAGACCTGGATATTGCCTGGCAATGTTCAACTGCATGGCTTTTGGCTCAAATATCTGACCAGCCTGCACGGAAAAATGGCCGAACAATTCAATGAGATGCTGCAGATAGGAAACATCAGTGAATGGTTAACAGCTGGGAAAACTTACTTGATACAGAAGGATCTAGCAAAAGGGGCAACACTTGCAAATTACAGGCCTATAACGTATCTGACAACCATGTTCAAGCTGCTGACTGGCATTATAGCTGACAGGATCCATGACTACCTAGAAGCAAATAACATCTTGCCAGTAGAGCAGAAAGGAAACAAGTGAGGGAACAGAGGCATGAAAGATCAGCTCCTGATCGACAAAATGATACTAGAGAACTGCAAAAGCCAAAAAACAAATCTGCATACAACTTGGATTGACTACAAGAAAGCATTCGATTCACTACCGCACAGCTGGATCATCAAGTGCCTGGATGTCATCGGAATATGCAAGTGCATTGGTACTTTCATTGAAAATGTGATGAAGCACTGGAAAACAGAACTGTTTATTGGAAGTGAAAGCTACGGATTGGTCAACATTAAAATTGGGATTTTCCAATTTTTTTCACCGCTGCTGTTCATCATCACCATGACCCCTCTGTCACCAGTTTTACAGAAAACTAACCTGGGTTATCAAACTGCTAAAAATTCACAGAAAATCTCTCACCTGCTGTACATGGATGACCTGAAGTTATACGGAAAATCAGAAATTGAAATCCAGTCACTGACCAATACAGTTCAAATTTTCAGCACTGACATCAGCATGGAGTTCAGCCTGGATAAATGCACGACAATGGCACTGAAGAAAGGGAATATCGTAGAAAGTGATGGAATTGAAATGCTATCAAGTGCTACCAACCTGAAGCCTATAAATACCTGGGCATACTGCAGCTGGATAATATCAAGCATGGGGCAAGTGAAAAATGTGGTCAGCAAAGAATACACACAAAGGGTCAGGAAACTTCTAAAAAGCAAACTGAATGGTGGTAACACTATCAAGAATATAAATACCTGGCCCATACCCGTCATCCGATATACTGGTGGGATCATAAACTGGACACAGGCAGAGCTAAACAGCCTGGATAGGAAAACAAGAAAACTGATGACCATACACTATGCGCTGCACCCGCATAGTGACGTCGACAGGATATATTTGCCCAGAAAAGCAGGCGGAAAATGACTTCTGCAAGTGAAGCAGACAGTCGAAGAAGAGAAGCATGCTCTGGCAATGCTTGAACCAGCTTTGATGGAGGTCAACAAGAGGAAGCTGCTCAAAATGCAGCAAACCAAGACTCAATATAAGAAAACAGTGATGCAAACTCAGGCTGACAGCTGGTGTAACAAAGCACTGCATGGACAGTTCCTTGAGAAGATCCAAGGAAAAGTAGATAAGGAAAAGACCTGATTATGGCTGACCAA